ACTGTGGCCAATGGCCAGGGATGGTGAGAGTTGTAGTCCTGAAACAACTGGAGATCCACAGGTTCCACACCCCCTGGGCTTCCAGGAAGAGAAAGAAATATGGCAAGAAACCGTGAGGCTAGTGACTTGGGATGCATTCCAAAGCCGAAAGATGGAACCAAGCAAATCACCTACCACTAAGCTTGAGAGACTGCATGCATTGTGAAATAATACAGACTGTGCCAGGGAATTAAGGTAACAATTCAGGGCATTTGCTAGAGATCTTTTAAGGGGGGGAAATTTAAACATAAATCTGAAATATAAGCATCTAGGAGCTTCCATGCAGCCCTCACTGTATCAACATCAGAAGGAACAGTTCTGATTGTTGTCACAAAGGAAGAAGAGAAGCACAGCCTGCCTAACATTTAGAGATATAAAGCTTTCATATCCCCTTCAGTCTTCTTCCCTTTGTGACTTCCACGGGATTTTCATTTCCAGAGATATTATGCTACTTGCTTTCAAAGGAATTCAATATCCCCCTCCCCTTTTCCCTCATTCAGAGAAGTAATTTCACAGCAAAGTACCACAGAGCAATGTCCTGGGTATTCATTTTCTGAGCCAATCTCAGAAAGTCAATTTGTGTTGCAGGGGAGTCATGAAAATGGGATAAATCCACTGAGTTTGTGGGATTCCGTGGCCAGCCTCGTCTGTGTCTCCTGTTGCACAGAGGTTATGGTGGATGCTCAAAAGGAGGGCATCTATTGATGTGAGCTGTGTGGCGCTGGGGCCTGACTACTGTGAGTTCCATAATAATCTGGCTAATGTTACCTGAAGGCATTGATCTTGATCCCAGCAATGGATTACCACTTCATCTATCTCTGGCCTCTCCATGAAGGTCATATAGCTGAGTCTGTACCCATCACAATTATTTACTTGATTTGTTCCTCGTTGTTTTAGAAATTAGAGGAGAAATCTTAAGAGTCTGAGGTGAAAAAGAGATGAGTTACTTGCTTGGTTACTCCTCTGCAGATAAAAAGCTAATCCTGATAAAACCTAGCCTGAAATCCTTCCAGTCTACATAAAGTCAAGGTCAGGCATTATTAGACAATCAAGGTTAGAGCTACACAATTTTCTGAAGGAAAAGAAAATAGAGATCACAGCCCTCATCTATTCGTATGCCTTGACATATTTAAGTAATATAGGAATACTTTTTTAAAAAAGAGAATTGTTTATTAAGGTTCAAGGTAAGAAGAATAACAAGACAATCTCACCCCAGGGGCCCCAAATCCAATAGAAAGTTAAGTATGCTTAACCTCATTTGTTTGGACCTAGGCTTAGTAGACACAGAGTAGACCAATTGAAATAAATGGAATTCAGTTCATTCCAACTGACTTCAATGTGTTTTTTCTAGGTTTGACTAATTCTGGATCCAACCAATTAATTTTCATTTTTCATTCATTTATTTATAACATTTAAATCTCCACACACACCCTTCATTTCAAGTGATCCATTTGCAGAGTTAAGCAGTTGGATAGTGGCTACCACCTTATATGTACCATTATGGGCCACGCACATGGTTGGTGCTTAAAAAGGAAAGAAAGCAATAATTGCTACTTCTTTGGCAAAGCAACCAAGCCTCTTGCCTTAACAATGACTTTCTCATTGTGGAAAAGTAAACCCAGAGATCCATTGTGTTGTGTGTTTCTTTTCCCTGCTCCAACCCACAGATTACCAATAATATGTAGCATTTACAGAACACATTTCACACACATTATTTTAATAGCTCTTATAATGCCCCTGTAAGATATAACACCATTTTTATTCCACATCGGAATGTGGAGAATGTATATAGAAATGTGGTTGTAAATATGAGTTGTGGGTGAGTTTGTGGGTGGATGTTCACCACAGCTGCATTTTCCTGTTCTCCTGGACTTGGTCACTTTTCTTTCCCTCCACAGCTCCTTTCTCTGGCATCACTTGTGTGCCCTTAAAAACTGTACCTAACCAGCCAATATTGATAACTGTCCCCCCCCAAAAAAAATCTTTATTTGAAAAGAGATTACATGAGAGAGCAATGATTGGTCTACTGGCTGCTGTTCTCATAGCAGTCTAAACCAAAAGACCCTTTTCTTTATTGCTGTTCAGGCAAGACTGGGAAAGATGAGAAGCTTCTTCGTATATTAAAGGTTGGACATTCCTCAGACCGTGATGTTGGGAAAGATTGATGGCACAAGGAGAAGGGGACGACAGAGGACAAGATGGTTGGACAGTGTTCTCGAAGCCACAAACATGAGTCTGACCAAGCTGCGGGAGGCAGTGGAAGACAGGAGTGCCTGGTGTGCTCTGGTCCATGGGGTCACGAAGAGTCGGACACAACTAAACGACTAAACAACAACAACATTCCTCAGACCTACAGATAGAGATGATAGAGATAGGGATCTGCTTCTCCTCCCTTTCAGTTTTCCAAGAGGACTAGCCTAAGCTAGTGAAGGAAGAGATGGTTGATGGATACACTCAGTCATAGATACCCAGAACCTTGTCAGATAAAGTATTGCAGATGAGGCTGAAAATAGGGTCTAGTCTTAAATTTCTTCAGCAACAAGTTCATTATTTTAGTGATACTTCCAGGCTTACAATCCCTAGGTAGATTTACTCATATTTACTCAGAAGAAACAGTCACATCTGGCTAACTTGATTCAAAAATACACTCTCACACCCCGCTCACACACAAAAACAAATCTCACTACAGCCAACCAACCACACCCTAAGCCACCCTCAACCTCTCTCACCACCAAGGAAATACAGCAAGCAAATAGTAAGAGAACGCATACAACTAAAGCTGTCACAACCCCCCCCACACACATACACTAAGTAGAAAAATAGAAGCATAACCACCTGACCCCACCCTACTTTCCATTTCCCCCCCTTTTCTTCCTAACCAAAAAATAATTAAAAGAAAAGGATAGGAAGCTTTAAACAGAGCAAAGCAGAGCAGTTCTATCCTGTTCCACTTGCTGTTTTTATTTAATCAACTCCACTTGGTTTTGTTAAAACCAAGGACTTGTACACTGACCACTAATAATGAATCATATGGTGTAGATATTATTGCAAATTTATTGTGCTATTTTTGCAATGTACAAATGACATTAGAAGACTTGGTCTTTTTATTTATACCGTTTATTATTCCTATGATCCTTGTTTATAAAATCCAATTTAAAAAATTTGAAGAAGAAGAAGAAGAAGAAGAAGAAGAAGAAGAAGAAGAAACAGCCACACAGTTCAGTGGGACTTATTCCCAGGGAAGTATGTCTATGACGATTATAACCTTACAGTGGTACCTCAGGTTACATACGCTTCAGGTTACATACACTTCAGGTTACAGACTCCGCTAACCCAGAAATAGTGCTTCAGGTTAAGAACTTTGCTTCAGAATGAGAACAGAAATCGTGCTCCGGCGGCGTGGCAGCAGCAGGAGGCCCCATTAGCTAAAGTGGTGCTTCAGGTTAAGAACAGTTTCAGGTTAAGAACGGACCTCTGGAACGAATTAAATACTTAACCTGAGGTACCACTGTATAACCTCTGACCACTGGAGATGTGGTTGCAATTGAACTTCTAAAGTACAGATCTAAACCTGCTTACTAAATGCATGAAGTTTCATAAACATATCAGGGTGCTGCCTTGCTTTTTTTTAAAAAAAGGCCCTTTAACACAGTTGAAAGAAAGTGGTGCAAAATCCCACATATTTTTAATTTTTAGTTCTTTTTGGTGCTATCAGTTACACAATTATAATAACCTTATAATTGTTTAGTGACACACCAGCAGAAAAGACGATATGAAAAGAGAGGGCAAAAGATTATACCAATTTGCATAAAATGTGGGTTTGTTAATTGACACACATAGATGCAAAATGAGAAATAATTGCTAGAATTTAAATTTCACAGAAGAGAAGCTAATTCATTCCCCATCCATATTGCACCAAATAAAATTGTTTAATTTGTACCCCACTCCCAAATCGGCCAGTTATCCTTCTCTCCCTTCCTGCCTTGGAGAATCAGCAAAGCCTGGGAAGAAAGGTTCGTCTATATGTTTTGTAAATTAATTAATAAGGGTGTTTTATGTAAAACAGTATTTGGTTTGTGACTTGTTAAAAGCTTAGCAGCTTACTTCTAACTGAGGTCTAAAAGCCCTGTTGCATGTGTGGTATACTGTTGGCAGCCTGCCAGGAAGCAGCAGGACCAATAAAGTCTGTGTCAGCGGAAGTAACTGTTTGCCTCGAAAGGTTTACCATTATATCAGTGACATTAGAGTCCAGCGCTTTTATAGTGGACAGCAGAATCAAAAAGCAGGGCATCAAAATCAGGCAGTGATAGGTCAATTAGGGAACCAATACCTTTGCTCATTGGTTCTTAGTTAGGAACCAGTGAGCTGTCAGGCTGCTGGACTGTAGCTTTTGATTGGCTTGAAGGCTATGGCTGGAGAGAATAAAAGGGGGCAAGCACAGCACAGTCAGAGTCAAGGGGGTGCCTGGTCGGTAGGTCACAGTGTGGAAAAATGGTGCAGAGCTCAAAGATCAGAATGAGCAGCAGAGTTGCAGCAAGTGCTGCCCATCTCTGAGGAAGGAGAAGATAGAAAGACCAGCACTGAGTAATTGAAGGTGGAAATTGTGAAGGTTTGCAGAGAGAGGAAGACTCCATTAGAAATTGCAGAGGAGAGTTGCAGCTTCAAGTGATCTCAAGAAGTTATGAGTCTTCAGCGACAGACTTGTTCTAAACTCTAGCCTTACCAGTTGAGTCCCTGGCCAGAAGGAATACTTCAGGTTTATTTGCTTATTTTATTATATACATTTCTAGCCTGCCCATCATCATCATCAGCTTCCACTTTGAAATAAATTAAAAAGTTGCCCAGTGGCATCTTAGAGACAAACTAAGTTTGTTCTGGGTATAAGCTTTCATGTGCATGCACATGTCTTCAGATACATTGAAACAGAACTCACCAGACCCTTATATATAGTTGGAGGGTGCGGTGGGGTTTTTCTCAGAAGGGTAGTAGGAGGTAAACCATTGAGTCAATCACCCATCTCCTACTACTCTTCTGAGAAAAACCCCACCCCAAACCTTAGAGAACAAACTTAGTTGGTCTCTAAGGTGCTACTGGACACTTTTTTAATTTTTTAATTTATTTTGACTGAGTCAGACCAACACGGCTACCTACCTGAATCTAGCTTCCACTTTGTGAGCACTAACAGAAGGATGTTAGGGGATGGGCAACTGGAAACAATGGGAGAGAAATAAACTGTACCAACTCCAGGGCTGATGTGACTTCCTTAAGTTTAGGAGTATATCTTCTTTTTTTTTGCAGCCCAGCTTGAACTCAAGCTATGTGGCAAAGCAAAAAATGGGTTATGCCATGGCAATATCAAGTGATTAACAGGTCGCCCACCCCTTGTCAAAAATGACCTGTGGAGGGTTGGTGAACACAGGATCTGGCCCATTGGCCGTATTCCTACAATATTATTGTTATTGTTGTTATTGTTATTATTACCTGCAACAGACTACTGTGGCAGCTCATGTTAGAATTGTAAGGACCTCAGCTTTATTTTCTGCTATATTGACCCTCAAGGCTGAAAGGTTAGGAGAATATATATATATATATATATATATATATATATATATATGCCTATATCCCACTTTAAATCTCATGAAGAAATAAATGCAGAAGAAGTAAAGCCTATTAGCCAAACTTTGGTCTCATGCAAATTGTAAACAGGATATGCAAATTAATTACACCACCCTTACTTGTAATACATTTCTATGGTGGTGCTGAGCTCTGAACCATTTCTCTTCCCCTACTCAACACATAAGGTTGATTCCCAGATATTGTGATATGTTACTTTCCACCGCTAAGTGTACATTATTTTCTGTTAAAAGACCCCCCACAAAATCAAGCCTGGCTATGTTTACACAACTTCAATTCTAGATGGGACACATTCTCCCCCATGAAGCAAGTGTGTAGTCTGGGGTCACTCCATCATCCAGCATTGCCACTTGGGGCCCAGGTGGCTTTCAAATCTCTTTCTACCCCCATGCGAATGTTTTTATTCTTTCCCCCTGCAGCCTGATTGGAAAGAAGAGCATCTCTGAACACAGAGATCTTCCCTCACCGTCAGAATTGCCCCCGTCTCCCGCTTGCAGGCTTCAGACTGGTTCATACATGCATAAACACGACTTCTCTGCACTTGATTGTTTCTGTGAGGACCCATTCACATCTGCAAGTTATCACGTGATGTCACAGCCATCAAGTGAAGAATGTGCATTTGTGAGCCAGCCCTTCTTTTTTTAAAAAAAATATGCAACTTCAAGGTCAGAATGTGTTGTTTCCAGGCAGGCTTCTCTTCCTTTACAAGATAAGCCCTGAATAATCCACAGCTTTCTCCTATTTTTTATTTCTGGTTGGCTGCCGTTGTTTATCAGAGCTTTATATGCACGTTACAAAGCAGAAACAACTCTAGCAGGGAGGCCAGGAGCATGTTAACTACGAGAATAAAAACAGTTGTCATAAACACTCTGCATCTTAATGCCGAGCCCCAGCTTTTACGTAAGATTAATTAAAGAGCAGATGTTCTGTCATCGCCTGCATTAGGTATGGTTATCTTTACAATTCCAGCTCTTCCATGCGCCGTGTGCTAATTTGCATTATTATGCATTTTGAGCCTGGGGCATAAGTGGCGAAGTGGTAAACATTAGATATATGCCGAACTATATTTCCAAATGCACTCTCCCTCTTAGGCCCATAGCTAGTTGCGTTCCATTCTGTTTTTTTATTGAGAAACCTCTCCCTTTTTTAATTTGCCTTTGACACGTTACATGACAGCAAGACAGGCCTATTCCAAGATGAGCGTGCTTTCAAGCACACATGAAGAGCTCTCGTAACAAGGTTTCTGCATACAGCAAACAGGACATTCGTCCTGCACATTGCAGCCAGGTTCCTGCTCATATCTTCAGTTTCTGACTAAGTCCTCCAGATATTCTTCTTCCCAGAGTTGTGCTCTAGCTGCAGGGAGATGCATTTGGCATTTGCAGTTTGGAAGGCAAGAGTCAAAACTGAATTCTCTTTATATATATAAAAACCATGATTGCCAGAAACTCGTGTCTTCCGAAAACTTTTCAAGCAGTGATCAAAGGCGGATGTGAATTAATTTGTCATGCTAACAGAACCTTGCTTGGGAGTCATTTCAGGCTGCGTTTCGGCAAAAGGCAATAACTCTGTGGATTGGCAATTTCATTTAAAAGGACAGAAACTCCCTCATCCCACACAGACCCTTCATTGGTTATCCGCTGCTACTAATGATTTAATGAACAGACACATCACCACCATATGCTACAAAACTCAGCTTTGGCACTTTTTGTTAGGAATATCTTGGAGGAATGCCAACAGACGGAGCTCAGAAAGGTTATGAGACACACCGAACAACCTGGCGGCAAGCGGGAACAAACCCACCGGACATTAATTAGTCAACAATTTTGTCTGAATGGTAACGTCAATAAACAGACAATAAATGCTTGATGATCTACATCGACAAAGCTTCTATTAAGGATAACAAAGCTGATTTGGTGAGCGGCTCAATTTCCTAACGCTGATATGACATGAAATCACTACGGTAGGTCATAAATATTGACCGAAGTGTTTCTCCGTGGCTCATTGTGAAATGATTCCAGAAGGTGTTGCCCCAAACAAGGCTGCAAGTCTCACTTACCTGTAACTCCTTTTCCTGTGGCTACATGCCCACACTTACTGGATTATCTTCACAAAAGTTCTCCTGATAGCTTGAGCCTATGGCTTTGTTCAGCATTAAACGTCTCACAGAATGCTGACCAAGAACCACTTGAGTGCCATTTCTGTCTTATTTTATTTATAAAATATGTATATACCACCCACTCATAAAATAGCAAAATGGTATGCAACAGTATATACGCATACAATCAAACCCAAAATAGCAGAAAACAAAACAAACCCATCCTGAAAATGGCTGCCTCAGCTTGGACGGAGAAATTAAAACTCCTGAATAGGCCTACCTACATAAAATACATAAGCTCTTGTCTTTACTATCAGGACTGTATGGACATCCATCTGTCTCAGGAGACAATGGGAAAATGTGCCTTCGGGGGTGAAGTCAAGTCACTGGAGAGTTACAGCACCTGCAGTGGCTGTAGAGACCAACGCAGGAGACATGATAGCCATCTTCAAATATCTCAAGGGTTGTCACATGGAAGACGGAGCAAACTTGTTTTCTCTTGCTCTGGAGGTTAGGACTAGATCCAATGGTTTCAAGTTACAAGAAAGGAGATTCCAACTAAACATCAGGAAGAATATTCTGACAATAAGAGCTGTTTTGCAGTGGAATGGACTCCCACAAGAGATGGTGGACTGTCCTTCCTTGGAGGTTTTTAAGCAGAGGTTGGATGGCCATCTGTCATGGATGCTTTAGCTGAGATTACTGCATAACAGAGGGTTGGACTAGATGGCCCTTAGGGTCCCTTCCAACTCTACAATTCTATGATTCTATGTTGCATCTGGGGCAGGTGAAGTCATCTAGTTGTGCTGATACAGGTGTGCCATGGAGTTTCTGCTTTCTGTGCTCCTCCCAGTAGTCATTCCTCTGGACTGTTTTGGACCACAACGCATATTCTGAAATCCTTAGCCAGGATGGCAAACGGGGGGTATGGGGCTTGTTTTCCAAAACAACAAGGGTGGGGAAGGCTGCTCTAGAGAGCTGGGTCCCTGCTACTGAGCTTATCTGAGCTTCCCTCTTACTTTTCCTTGCATGTGGCTTGTAAAGGAGTCCCTAAGATAGTTTATCTTATCACAAGACCGTGGAGAAGCAGTCATGCTCCAGAGTGGAGATGAGCATTTCCAGCTGAAACACGTCACCAGAAGCCCCAAGTGATAATATTATCTGATGCTAAGCTGTATCATTTCATACTGCATGAGGGGGATTGAACGTTTGGGTTCTCCTGCTCAGATAATGCTTTCGATGCACATCAAACTAATGTGTCAGGGGAAGCTGCTAAACTACAGCCTCCCCATGGCATCCTTGTTGTCTGAGTGTGGGAGTGTTGGATGCAGGAAAGGTGCATTTCCAGCTCATCCGTCATCGCCAATCCCCAAGCAGTTTACAAAAGATAAAACACGTAAAAATGATATAATTAGATTCTGATCGGCAGCAGGAACCATTAACGCTAGAACAATGAAAACCACAGCCAGCGTAACCTCTAAAGTTATTTGCATACTACCCGGCCTCCAGCAATTGAACTAACTCCATCAACATCCCCTCCAAAACTGAGCAAGTAGCCACATTTTCAGACAAAGCAGACAAAGTTGGCACTGCCCACATTTTTGAGGAGAGGCATTCCATAAGTGGGATGCCACCACCACAGAGAAATGCATTCCCCACATGACTGCATGATGTATCACTCCTGATGGTGCAGTTGTGAGAAGGGCCTTCTGCTAATAATAATAATAATAATGCTCTAAAACATCAAATATTAAAAACTTCCCTAAACAGAGTTGCCTTCAGATGTCTTCTAAAATTCAGATAGTTGTTTATTTCCTTGATATCTGATGGGAGGGTGTTCCACAGGGTGGGTGCCACTACAAAGAAGGCCCTCAGGCTGGAACATAAAGAGGTATTGATTCAATATCGGTCCATTTGGAGTCCAAGCCACTTGGGAATTTGTGTGGGTAAAACCTCAGCGCCTTGGACTTGCCGATCGTATGGTCGGCGGTTCGAATCCCCGCGGCGGGGTGAGCTCCTGTCTTTCAGTCCCAGCTCCTGCCCACCTAGCAGTTCGAAAGCACCCTTAAGTGCAAGTAGATAAATAGGTACCGCTCCAGCGGGAAGGTAAACGGCGTTTCCGTGTGCTGCGCTGGTGCTGGCTCGCCAGAGCAGCTTCGTCACGCTGGCCACGTGACCCGGAAGTGTCTCCGGACAGCACTGGCCCCCAGCCTCTTAAGTGAGATGGGCGCACAACCCTAGAGTCAGACACGACTGGCCCGTACGGGCAGGGGTACCTTTACCTTTAAGTTATCAGTATCGCCTTGAATTGGGTCT